GCACAGTCTCGCCGTGACTCCGATGAAGTGCCCATCCTGAGGGACGACCGCGTGATCGACAACGACGGAAGGTACAACTTCGACGTGGAAACAGGAGACGGCATCGTGGTGTCAGAGTCTGGAGCTCCCAGCGCAGACGGAGGCATCAGCAGCGCTGGTTCATACTCGTGAGTCTCGATGAATAATGGTGAATATATAGACAGTACCTATTACTGCGTTTCGTGACGACTACATTCCATATAATTCGTACAAAACCATGATGCTAATCTTCATTTTCTCTTCATTAGCTACACTGCTCCTGATGGCACTCCCGTCCACGTGGAGTTCGTGGCTGACGAGGGCGGCTTCCAGCCCCAAGGCGCCCACCTGCCAGTGGCCCCCGAGTTCCCTCACCCAATCCCCGATTTCGTCCTCGAGCAGATCGCCTTCGCCGCTGAGGAGGACGCCCGCAGGGCCAAGGAACCCTCCAACAGATACAGCGCCCCTTAGTTAGAATATCTTGCATTGTGTAAATATTATGATGATGTTCCATTGTTGAAGATTTGCATGATCTTTTTGTTTATCCACACATTAGAATAAATAATACAATGTTAAATATAATTTTACTTTCAAAGGAAAATGTCTCCTAGCACATCTATGACTGGACTTCCAAAACAATAAGCCAGTATTAAGTACAATTCAAATATTCGCTTGGTTTACTTCACGCGTTAAAATAAGGAGAGCAGGTACAGGTGTACCTGTTAAAATTGTTACAATAACTGATACTTGAAATAACGTGGTTCTGTATAAGTCTGCCATGAGCGTTCCATCAAGATCATAAGAAAGTGGGGGAGGGGAGTGTTCTTACCTAATTATAACAATCTTGCTGGAAAAAATAAGAATTAGTGATTCTTTCTTGAAAAGGGAATAGATAGGTGGAGAAATGCATAAGAAATTGGTTAGACACATATGCATACATACATACATAATTGTACATACATACATATGCACACATAACTTTAAGTCATTAGGATAAGAGTTTCTTGATATTATCTTGTAATCCATAGTATATGTATGGAGGTGTAAGTACAACTATGTCATTTTTTTCAAATAATTTAGCTTATCACCAGAATCACGCTACCTTTCCTGGCATTGACTTGAAGGTAATGATATTAAATGCAGTACATGTTATATTTTTTACTTGTAGATAACAAGGTCAGCCATATCTGTGTCAGGTTTTCTTTTTTGTCATATAAATGCACTATTTCATAGGAAGCTGATAATAGGATGCAACTTCCTCTGACCTCCAGAAAAAAAAAAAAACATACCAAAAGCCACTTTATTTATTACCCTGCTGTCAGACCATATTGGAGAAAGGCCACTTCTTTTTTTGATATAGTTGGTTTGATGAGAAGCTTAAATGTCTGCAAAAACAGGTCATATGCCCATTTTCTCTTAGACTGACGAATAAATAAGTGCTCCTATGTCACTCATGACAGATTACAGTTTTTTTTATATAACATCTACAATATCTATGTTTTCTTATATGTCACCTGCTTAATCTTTCATTGGAAATTATTTGTTTGCTGCTTTCCTAAGTCAAGAAGGTCAGCATATTTTCGGTAACAACAACTTATAAACCATTTAGACACTAATGTATAGCTCTCTGAATTTTCAACAAACAAGCAACTGGTGATCAAGATTCGTTAATCATTCAAATAGCTATACCTAAGTGTGTAAATGGTTCAGAAACTGTCATTGATGCTGACCTTCTGTGACGACAGCAGCTTCAAGACATTTCCTTCGAGTATTGCAGCAAGATCAAGTTTAACAGAGCTATTCGTTATCACCTGATCCGTGGGGTACTGGAAGCTGTTGGTCTGGTTCTGTTCCCACACTTACCGTTAGAAATTCTAGCCATCGATGTGGATAACTTCGATAAAGAATTAAAGATAACCAGCGTACCACCTAACTCCTCCACTGCCATGGAGCGTCCAAGTTAAAAAAAATACTAGGGATAGGCTTAGACAGATGATAAAAAAAACAATAATAAAAAAATAAAAGAGAAGCTACGGGGGTTAGCGTGGAAAAGAGTATTTCATTTTTATTTTCTTCTCAGAAGTTGAATGTATGTATGAAACTGTCAACCTTATAAAAAAACTTAAATCTTTTAGTATGTGAATCTAGTGATTATGAATCCTGTTTCCACAATTTTATATATATATATGTATATATATATATATATATATATATATATATATATATATATATATATTTTTTTTTTTTTTTTTTTTTTTTTTTTTTTTACGGGTGGCGGACGAACCTCAAGGTGGATAAATAGGTCCTTTGATATGTCTTTTGATATGTTATTTTTAGAGGTTAAATTTCACACCCACACCCACGTTTATACACACACACTCACACACACACATATATATGTGTGTGTGTGTGTGGATATATATATATATATACATATATATGCATGCGTGTATGCATGTATACATGTATATACATTATAGATCATATATATATGTATATGTGTGTGTGTGCATACACATGCACACATAAATGGAAATTATATATTTGTGGAAAAAGACATACGAGTGCACAGTACTTACACGCAGGTATACACACACATATAGAGATACGTATATATAAATATAAATAAAGATAGAAAGATATACATGAATATACAATATATACATGCATGCATAAATATTTACTTACATTTGTGGATTTATATGTGCATATATATATTTCTAATTAACTCCGTTGGATAAAAGACCATTTTTATCATTCCGCTCGTGGACCTAAACTTTTAAAAAGTACAGTCTAATTGGTAAATGGCAACTTTTGCTTCTCTTGCGAAGATAAATACCTGTCTTGAGTCTCGTGAGAAGCAGATCTCTCGCACAGTCTGTACCATGAAATTTGTAAGTATTTCTAAGCTGGTCACTCTGAAAATGAACAGTTGCTGTTTCCGAAAAATATGATTGTCAAGGCTGACACTCTGATGTCTAGAGGTTGTTATAATGCGCTGTTCGATAAGAATTTACATTTCGCTGAACATGCCATCAGTCTGCGATGAATACCTTTCAGATTCTTGTTGCCGTGTTTGCCTGCGTGGCTGCTGCCGCCCCTCAGGGATATGATGCCCCTGCACAGTCTCGCCGTGACTCGGATGAAGTGCCCATCCTGAGGGACGACCGCGTGATCGAGGACGACGGAAGGTACAACTTCGACGTGGAAACAGGAGACGGCATCGTGGTGTCAGAGTCTGGAGCTCCCAGCGCCGACGGAGGCATCAACAGTGCTGGTTCATACTCGTGAGTATCCGGAAAGAAACAAAAATGCACAGATGGAAACTCCATTATTTCGTAACGGTTATATCTTCACATAGCTCGTAAGAAAACCATGATAGTTATTTTGTCATCCACTTTCTCTTAATTAGCTACACCGCTCCTGACGGCACTCCCGTCCACGTTGAGTTCGTGGCTGACGAGGGCGGCTTCCAGCCACAGGGCGCCCATCTGCCAGTGGCTCCCGAGTTCCCCCACCCGATCCCCGACTTCGTCCTCGAGCAGATTGCCTTCGCCGCTGAGGAGGACGCCCGCAGAGCCAAGGAACCATCCAACAGATACAGTGCTCCTTAATCAAGATATGTTGCAGAATATGTGTATATATTATGAAGATGTTCCGTTGTTGAAGATTTGCATACTCTTTCTATTTAAGCATTTATTAAAATAAATAATACAATGTTACCTATCTATTCATCTCCTAAGGAAAATGCCTTTTATCATATTAATTGTGACTGGTATTCCCAAATAATCGGCCAATGCAAAGTATAAATGGAAATCAATCAAAGTAACAAATACTTAATTTAATTGTTGCCAATAAACGCAAAATGCACAGAAATTGTACTCAAAAGAATCTGATTCAGTTTTAGGGTGTTATTAGTGTGCCTTGTGATATCATGGCCAGGTGGAAGAAGGGACAGCATGCTTATCCTTATGTAGATTAAGAATAACTGTGAATTGAGGAATCTTGCTTGAAGAAAACGAAAAGGACGAGTGAACGTTTCTTGGACTGTGGATAACTAAAAGATCAGATAAGGAATAAACTAGTTTGCATAAACACATAGATATTTACATTCATATGTATACATCTAATATATATACTTACATATATTCATGCACATATACATTAGCGTTTTAAAATGATAAAATTACCAAAACACCGCAGCGAATTTCGACCACTAAGATTCTTAATACACATAGGAAGGAATAAATACAAATAAGCCATTTTAGCAACTTTCAAAGCATTAACTTTAATCATCTGCATCACACTACAGTTCCTGGAATTGTTCTAGAAGATGCTGATAGCAAATTCGTTCTCTCGAGAGCGTCATTTTCTTTTAACATTAAGGCTACCATTTCTACCTGGTTCACTGTGTAATTCTTGTTGACCGAGTTGTGTTTTTTATGTAACATCCACTTTTTCTTTTATTTGCGTAATCTTTCATTGGGAACTTGCTTATTACTCTCTTAGGTCAAGAGAGTCATCCTGTTTCCAGTAACAACAGCTTCTAAACAATTTAGACACGATGTATCTCTCTTGCTAATCAACAGACAAGCAACTGGTGATGCAGATTTGTTAATCATTCAGATAGCTATCCATAAGTGATTCAGAAATTGTCATTGGCAACAGCAACTTCGAGAGATTTCCTTTGATAAAACAATTTGTTATTACCTGATCAGTGAAGTACTAGGGTTGGTCATGTTCCCACAGTGTCGTGGAAAAGAGTAATTCATTTTTTTTTCTCTATAAGAAATTGAATGTATCCATGAAACTCATAGAAGAACTTTAAACTTTTTGGATATGAAACACATGATTTTGAATCCTGTTTCCACTCTTTAGGATAAACAATTTTCACGGAAAAAGGAAGAAACAGCTACCGAAGTGGATAACTCTTCGACAAAGAAGTAAAGATACTAAGCACTTAATCACCTAGCTTTATGACCATGGAGCGTCTAAGAAAAATAATATACTGGACAAAAAAGGGGCAAAAGACTACACAGATTAAGAAACAACTCAAAAATATCTCATGGTGTGGCGTGGAAAAGGAGTACTTTATTTTTATTTTCTCTATGAAATTGAATATATCTATGTAAACTGTTTAAAACATTTTTAAGCTCTGAAACTAGTGCCTTTGAAGCCTGTCTCTACAATATCTGATCAACAATTTTCACAGAAAAAGAAAAATTTGGAGGCCGTTCTCCAAGGTGGCGGACGAATCTCAGGGTGGATGAATGGGACTTTCTATTTCACGCTCATCCGTGTGTATATACAGTAGAAATCGCCGAAGTCGAAGTCGCACAAGTCGGATAATCGCGCAACTCGGATGAGTGTCAAAGGTCCCGATTTTTCCTAACGTTATTTCCATTAAATTTAGTCGCGTAACTCGGAGACTACTAGTCGGATTTTCGTACAACTCGGATGGAATTTCCAGTCCCGATGTAATGCATTTTCATTGAAATTACATCGTGTAAGTCGGATGAAGTTTGGCTTTACATCAATACTATAAAACATAGCCTACGCCAGCGCCAGTACCGTGTCATACGCTCATTGGATCACAGACTGCTCAAGACATCAACAGTAAGTGACCTTAATTATTAGTACCGCATGCTGCAAAAGACGCACGAGACAGATAGCCGCCACGCGCCACCAACGTCCCGACTTCCGCATAACACGGATTTTCTGTTAGTCGGATAAAATTCACTGGTCCATTTTCATCCGACTTAGGCGAATTCTACTGAATATGTATGTTTTTTTTTTATATCCACGTATATAAGTATATACATACATCAAATATGTATATATCTATAATGTATTATTTACACATTAAATATGCATGCATTCATTCATATATATAAACTGACAAACAAATGCAAACGTTGATATCTTTGTGGAAATAGACACATATCAGTACATCCATAAACACATAGACATAGACATACACACATACAAACAGGCACATACGCGCGCACACATACATACAAACATATGGTCGCAGACACATGCATGATATATACGTATACATATGTATATATAAACAGATGCTGATATAGACAGACATACATAAATATACACATACATGCATGCATAAATACATGCATACGTATTATATGTATGCATGTGCGTGTATATCATCAATCACCCATATTCTTATCTGTGGTTGTATTCGTGCATATGTGCAATGAACATGATCCTGAACTAAAAATACAATCTAATTGACAAATGGCAACTTTTCTCTTCTTGCGAAGATAAATACCTGTCTTGAGTCTCGTGAGAAGCAGATCACTCGCACAGTCTGTACAATGAAATTTGTATGTATCTACAAGTTAGCCATTTCTGAAACTAATCCGCTGCTATTTCTGAAAATTATGAATAAGAAGGCTGATACTCTGAAAATGTTGTGATTTTTAAGGGTTGTTATAATGCGCTGTCCAATAAGAATAATTTGAATTTGAACTTTGATGAACTACCATCAGAATGCGATGAATACCTTTCAGATTCTTGTTGCCGTGTTTGCCTGCGTGGCTGCTGCCGCCCCCCAGGGATATGAAGCCCCTCGCCGTGACTCCGAGGAAGTGCCCATCCTGAGGGACGACCGTGTGATCGAGGACGACGGAAGGTACAACTTCGACGTGGAAACAGGAGACGGCATCGTGGTGTCAGAGTCTGGAGCTCCCAGCGCCGACGGAGGCATCAACAGTGCTGGTTCATACTCGTGAGTATCCGGAGAGAAACAAAAATACACAGAAGGAAACTCCAATATTTCGTGACGATTATATCTTCATACAGTTCGTTAGAATACAATGATAGTTATTTTGTCATCCACTTTCTCTTAATTAGCTACACTGCTCCTGACGGCACTCCCGTCCACGTTGAGTTCGTGGCTGACGAGGGCGGCTTCCAGCCACAGGGCGCCCATCTGCCAGTGGCTCCCGAGTTCCCCCACCCGATCCCCGACTTCGTCCTCGAGCAGATCGCCTTCGCCGCTGAGGAGGACGCCCGCAGGGCCAAGGAACCATCCAACAGATACAGTGCTCCTTAATGAGAATATGTAGCAGAATATGTGTATATATTATGATTTTCCGTTGTTGAAGATTTACAAGCCCTTCCTATTTAATCATTCATTGAAATAAATAATACAATGTTACACATATTTTCATTTCCTAAGGATGTCTCTTATAGTGTTTATGAATTACTTCCAAAATAATCGTCCATCATAAAATATAGATGAAAAATAATTAAAGGAACAATATAGGCATAGATATTTCATTCAACTAGAGATAAAAAATAACTAGTTTGCACAAACATATATACACATATCTCTACATGTGTACATCCGTTCATTTATATATTTACACACAGATTCATGCACACACACATTAATGTTTTAAAATGATCAAATCACTAAACACCATGTAAGATTCACTAAGAAAAGCCTTGTGGTTTTAGCTTTTAGCTAATAAATCTAACTACACACAGGAAGGGGTAAATACCATTGTTGTAGAAAGTTCGTTATCTCTTGAGAGTGCCATTTTTTCCACTTTGAGACTACCATGTCTGCTTGAATCACTTAGTTTCTTGGTCGAGCAGCCGATGATTCTGCTTACCCATTGGTAAGATTAGAAAAAAATAGTACACTGATTGTTAAGCTGAAAACTGGCAAGCAACTTGCTTTGATTTCTAGAAATAAAATATCAAAGCCCGCTCCATTACCTAACCCTACTCTTCACCCTCCATCTTGGAAAATGTCTTCAATTTAAAAAAATAAGTTGGTTTGGTGATAAAAAGTGGGAAGCTTAAATATTTACGAAAACAGGTCATATGCTCATTTTTCTCTTAGAGAATGACGTTCCAGTACTTAAATGAAAATTGTTGGAACGAAGAATAAATAAGTACTACATCACTCATGACAGAATGCAGATAAGACATTTCTATGTAACATCCACCGTGTTTCTCCTTTCTTACAAGTTACCAGCATAATCTTTCATTGGAAAGTAGCTGTTGCTTTCCTAAATCAAGAAGGTTAGCATGTTTCCGGTAACAACAGCTTTTAGACACGGATCTATAACTCTGATTAATTAACATAAAAGCAACTAGTGATGCAGATTTGTTAATCGTTCAGATAGCTATACGTGTGTCTAAATGGTCCAGAAACTGTCATTGACAACAGCAGCTTCAAGACAGAGTATGTCAGCAGGATCAACTTTGACAAAGCAACTTGTTACCACCTGATCTATGAGGTAATGGAAGCTGCTGGGTTGGTCATGTTCTCACAGACTATTATGCAAAAGATTACTTCATTTTTATTTCCTATAAGTAATTTAAGAAACTGCTACTCGATTTTTAAAAATTGGATATGAAACTATTGATTTTGAATCCTGTTTCCACTATTTTGGATAAACAATTTTCACGGAAAAATGAACAATCAGAAATTTGACGGCCTTTTTCCAAGATGGCGGAAGAACCTCGTTGGGTGTTTTGATGTATACTTTTTAGAGGTAAAAGGAATTTACGTGTAGATTACGCGTAATATATATATGTATATACATATACTTACATACATACATATGTGTATGTATGTATATATAATACATCTAATATACATCTAGTACACACACACACATAAACACACACATATATATATATATATATATATATATATATATATATATATATATATATATATATATATATATATATATATATATATATATATATATATATATATATATATATATATATATATATATATATATATATATATATATATATATATATATATATATATATATATATATATATATATATATATATATATATATATATATATATATATATATATATATATATATATATATATATATATATATATATATATATATATATATATATATATATATATATATATATATATATATATATATATATATATATATATATATATATATATATATATATATATATATATATATATATATATATATATATATATATATATATATATATATATATATATATATATATATATATATATATATATATATATATATATATATATATATATATATATATATATATATATATATATATATATATATATATATATATATATATATATATATATATATATATATACACACACACACACACACACACACACACACACACACACACACACACACACACACACACACACATATATATATATATATATATGTGTGGCAGATACAGAGTTGGGTTGTAACATCCCTGTATCTTTGCTGTCTCATAAGTTACATACGTAATATTTCACTGGAAATTATTTGTTTGTTGCTTTCCGAAGTTAAGAAGCTTTTAATCCATTTAGGCACTGATGTAAACTGTCTGAGTAATCTACACACAAGCAACTGGTGATCTATACCTAAATGGTTAAAAAACTGCCTTTGATAATGACCTTCTGCGGAAATAAAAGCTTCGAGCAACATTTCCTTGGAGTATGTCAGCAGGATCAACTTTGACAAAACAACTTGATATTACCTGCTCCGTGTGGTACTAGAAATTGCTGGGTTTGTCATGTTCCCATAGAGTTACCGCTAGAAATTCCAGTTATCGAAGTGGATTACCCTTCGATGAAGAAGTAATAAAATGATAAGCACGTTGCCACCTAGATTTATTGGAATGGAGTGTCTAAGAAAAAAAAAATATACCGAACAAAAAAAAGAAAAAAAGGCAGAAGATTACACAGATGATTAAGGAATAAATCAAATTTGTCTCATGATGTGGCCTGGAAAAGAGTACCTCTTTTTTATTTTTTTTCTCAGAAATTTAATGAATGTATGAAACTGGATGTAAAATGTTATTGAATGATGATTCCACTATTTTTGAGCAAAAAAACAAAGAAAAAAGAAAAAAGAAGAAATTTGGAGGCATTTTTCCAAGATGATGAAGGTGAAGGGTGGATGAATGGGTGTTTTGCGGTGTACCTTTTAGAGATTAAAGAAATTTACGTGCCGATTTTCTATTTCACGCACACGTATATATATACATATACATGTAAATGTGTGTTATTGCGTGCGTATATATGTATATACATAGTACATCAAATATGCATATATATATATATATATATATATATATATATATATATATATATATATATATATATATATATATGCACATACAATTACATACATGCATACAAATATATATACAGAAACTCATAAATACAAACGTTGATATATTTGTGGAAATAGACACATTAGTATACAGTACATGCATACAAACACACACCTGCGTAAGTACGCACTCATACGCGGAGGCGCACTCAAACGTAGTCGCGGAACATACACACCAGACATACACTCCTATACATGTATGTATGTATGTATTTACGTATGTATGATTAGATATAGATATAGATATAGATAGACATACATGAATATACACATATATACGTGCACAAGTACATACATACATATGTAGTATATGTGTGCATGTATGATCTGTCACCCATTCTTATCTGTGGATGTATTTGTGTAAATGTGCAATGAATATTTCGATGGATAAAACAGAAATTTCATCATACCACACTTGGACCTGAACTAAAGGTTCAATCTAAATGGCGAATGGTAACTCTGCTTCTCTTGCGAGGATAAATACCTGCAATGAGTCTCGTAAGAAGCAGAACACTCGTACTGTCTGGAACATGAGAGTTGTAAGTATTTGCAAGTTGGCCACTTCTGTTTCCGAAAATTATAAATCCCAAGGCTGGAACTCGGTGATGTCGAAGGGTTGCTAAAATGTGCTGTTCAGTAAGAATAATTAGATTTTTGCTGAATATGCCATCAGTCTGCGATGAATACCTTTCAGATTTTTGTTGTCGTGTTTGCCTGCGTGGCTGCTGCTGCCCCTCAGGGATATGAAGCCCCTGCACAGTCTCGCCGTGACTCGGATGAAGTGCCCATCCTGAGGGACGACCGCGTGATCGACAACGACGGAAGGTACAACTTCGACGTGGAAACAGGAGACGGCATCGTGGTGTCAGAGTCTGGAGCTCCCAGCGAAGACGGAGGCATTAACAGTGCTGGTTCATACTCGTGAGTATCCGGAAAGAAACAATAATATATAGATAGAAATTATGCCTATATTTCGAGATGATTATAGCTCCATATAGTTCATAAGATAATTATTTTGTCATCCACTTTCTCTTAATTAGCTACACCGCTCCTGACGGCACTCCTGTTCACGTTGATTTCGTGGCTGACGAGGGCGGCTTCCAGCCTCAGTCTGACCTCCTGCCTGTGGCTCCCGAGTTCCCCCACCCGATCCCCGACTTCGTCCAGGAACAGATTGCCTTCGCTGCTGAAGAGGACGCTCGCAGGGCCAAGGAACCTTCCACCAGATACAATGCTCCTTAATCAGAATGTGTTACAGAATAAGTGTAAATATTATGATGTTCGGTTGTTGACGATTTCCATATTCTTTCTCTTTAATCACCCATTAAAATAAATAATATAATGTTACATATAGTTTCACTTTCTTAGGAAACTGTCTTATCATGTTTCTTATGACTGGCCACCCAAAATAACCTGCCAGAATAAAATATAGACGAAAAGTAAAAACCACAGGTACGTTCCTAAGAAAAAAAAAAGTGTTTGTGTTTAGTGTGTTATATATCTGCTATGTGACATCATGGCGAGATGGGAGAGGGGGCAGTGTACTTATATTTATATAGACTAAGAATAACTTCTGTGAATTGAGGTATCTTGCTGGAAAATTAAAAGAACGAGCGATCGTTTCTTGGACTGTGGATAACCAAAGGAAGATATAATAACCAGTTTGCATACACATACTTTTAATTTATAAATATACATCCATTCACTTATATACTCATACGTACATTCATGCACATACATTAATGTTTTAAAATCATTAAATCACTAAAACACCATAGTAAATTCATTTACTACGACCACTAAAAGAAGACTTGTGGTTCCTAGTTTTTAGCTAATAATTCTAAATACAGCCTGAAGTATATACAACTACGCCAATTTAGCAGCTTTC